GGGAAGAGGGGGGGCGGGAAGAACGGTGTATGATGCGCCACGCGGTCGTGAGATACTCTCTTTACCAGCTTGATCCCCTTCCCCTCTGGTGCCATGGTTTTGCTACCTAGGTAGGTACCTTAGGCTAGCTAGGCGAGCAGAGAGAGGCGGTCCGAGGTCTGGCCGGATGGACCCATGGACAGGGCCAGGGGGCTGGGGAAGAAGGGTGGTCGTTGGATCGTGAGCAACGAAGCTGAGCTGGCGGGTAAAGGCGCCGCTGAAAATAGCACGAGAGGGCGCTACGAAGGTTCAGGGCTTGATTGCTTCTGTCTGCAGGGTGCGAGATTGAGGATGCGTGCTTTGGCTCCCGATGGCTTGAGATGGCGGGGGGATGCTGCATTGTGTGCGTGCCGGATCGAGGGGTGGAAAGGAGAGACCGTGGGGATGATGGGAGTTCTGGGGTCGGAGATATTCGGAAGAGCGGGGGGTTTCATCGCATCGCACGTAGTGTCGTCTTTGCAGCTGGCCGGGGAAGAGAAGAAGAAGAGAGAGAGAGAGAGGCGGTGTATGGGAAAAAGGCGCGTGAGCTGGACTCGGCTGAGGCCGGTGCGATGGATTTCGGAGGCAAGATGTTGATCAGAGGCGGGGTGCATGATGTGTCGGCTCTGCATGTGCGTCAACTCGGCTCATACAGGGCGGAGGATGTGGCTTGTCTCCGAAGATGGACAGACGTGGTGTTGTTCCATGCAGGACGCCAGGGAAGCACTTCAGTCCGCTTTCGATCTGTGCAGTCATCACGACTTGCAGTTCATCCCATTGGTATAACCATTGGAGGGAAATCACGGCTCATACAACGTTGTGATTTGTCCAGTCTGTCGCTAAGATTTGGAATGCGCTGCCGCATGTTCACCTGGACACGGCTGGATCCTTGCTACCTCGTACAGACAGTCACATTTCCTTGATAGGTGCAACATGTGTGAAGAGACGCACGCATGCCAGACGCACAACTGTTTAGCCACGGCTAAAATCAGACCCTGGCCTCGAACGGAGGACTAATCACTACGGACAGTTTTGAGCCCACGGAGGCGGAAGGTTTCTGGGAATTCAGTAGCCCAAGGCATCTGTGGGCTGCGTGGTTGGGGTGGCAAAACCATGGGTAACGCGCCTTGGATTGAAGACAGCGTCCAATTCGAAAGTTGCGATGGCACAAGTCAAAGTGCGTGTGCCCGAGACTTCAATCCTGGCAAATGGGACACTTGGCGTGTTGGGACACTTGGCGTGTCTGGCTAAGACGGGATGACGTGAAGCGACTTCGACATTCCATCCTCCTTAACCTACGAGACTGGCGTTCCCGGCTCTGATAATTTATTTCACACGCGATCGTTTCGTAAAGGCGGCCGGCCATCAAATACCTGAGATGAGCGGCCGGCGAAGGCGTGGGACGGCGGAGAACCCCGTCCGAGCCGAGGTCGTCGCTTCACCCCCACCTGACCGAAGTGGCTTCGGAGCGGGATGAACGGAATCCTCGGAACTCGGCTTGGCGTGTTTCGGGCCCGTCTGGAACGGGTCTCATCCGTGTGCTGTATACCAACTTTGGCCGTGATACGAGGAGCAGCATTCAAGCGCCAGGGTCCGTATGATGTATT